GTCACATCATTTTTCATGTGTCAGGAAGGATGATTCTTATTTTGCTTTTTCTGCCCCAGCAACTCACACGTGTAAATACCATTCTTTACGGAAACAGGCAGTGGGCAGGATCTGGGCTGCCATGAGCAGTTTGCATTTTAAGCTGAGCGAGGTCTCTGGAGGGTTTTGTGCAGCAGAGAGGAGATCCAATGCAGGGTTTAGGAAGCTGCCTCTGGCTGCTGAGGGAGAAGGGACAAGGCGACAGGGTCAGAGGATGGAGACCAGGAAGGATGCGTCCCGGAGGAGGAACCTGCGGTGATGGGGTTGGACTAAGCTGGTGGCCGCGGAAGGGGTGAGAAGGGGCGGACCACGACACAGTGTGCCGGCAGTAGGCTTGGCTAGTGGACAAGTGTGGGGCGAGAGAGAGGTGTCAGGGTGATACCAGGGCTTGGATGAAGCCTGGAGGGTTGGTGGCATCCGTGCTATACCTCAGGGGGCTCCGAGGGGTATTTGCTCTGATCTTTTTTTTCTTTTTCTTTTTCTTTTTGAGATGGAGTCTCGCTCTGTAGCCCAGGCTGGAGTGCAGTGGTGTGATCTCGGCTCACTGCAACTTCCACCTCATGGGTTCAAGTGATTCTCCTGCTCAGCCTCCCAAGGAGCTGGAACTACAGGCATGCGCCACTGCGCCAAGCTAATTTTTGTATTTTTAGTAGAGACAGGGTTTCACCATATTGGCCAGGCTGGTCTCCAACTCCTGACCTGGTGATCCGCCTGCTTCGGCCTCCCACAGTGCTGGAATTACAGGCGTGAGCCACTGTGCTCGGCCTTTTTTTCTTTTTTTGAGACAGATTCTCACTCTGTCACCCAGGCTGGAGTGCAATGGTGGCATGACTTTGGGTCACTGCAACCTCCGCCTGCCGGGTTCAAATGATTCTCCTGCCTCAGTGTCCTGAGTAGCTGGGATTATAGGTGTGTACCACCACGCCTGGCTAATTTTTTGTATTTTTAGTAGAGACATGGTTTCTCCATGTTGCCCAGGCTGATCTCAAACTCTTGACCTCGGGTGATCCACTTGCCTCAGCCTCCCAAAATGCTGGGATTACAGGCGTGAGCCACCGCACTCAGCCATTTGCTCTGATCTTGTGTGGCATCCAGGAGGATGGGTGGAGGAAATAGTTATAATTGGAATTCGAAGCCCTGAGCTGGGAGATCCAATTCAGTGTCTTCTCTGGAAGGAAATTCAGAGGGTTCCGCACCCCAAGGGTGAAAGGAGAGAGGAGTTCCAAGGACACCCTCCTTCCCAAATGCCAGTTACTTTCCATTTTCCTGCCTTGGTTCCCACTCTTCCCTCCTCTTGTCCAAAGGTGTCTAAGGGGGCCCAGTGCAGTGGCTATCGGTTAGCTCAAGGTGACGCCCGTAATGCCAGCACTTTGGAGGCTGAGGCAGGCAGATCACGAGGTCAGAGTTCACGACCAGCCTGACCAACATGACCTCATCTCTACTAAAAATACAAAAATTCTTCATGTGTGGTGGCGGATGCCTGTAATCCCAGCTACTCAGGAGGCTGAGGCAGGAGAATCGCTTGAGCCCAGGAGGCGGAGGTTGCAGTGAGCAGAGATCATGCCACTGCACTCCAACCGGGGCGACAGACCGAGAGTCTGTCTCAAAAAAGTTAAAAAGGGGTCTAAGAAGCATCATAGACCACACTGACGTGTGAATGCTCAATGCCCACCCAGCCCTAAGCGAGTCGTCAATGTGTCAGTGGAGGGGCACTTGCCAATGTCGGGACATCTGTGGTTGTCTCAGCTTGGAGGTGCCCCTGGCATAGAGTGGGTGGAGGCCAGGGGCGCTGCTCAGCACCCTGCAGTGCCCAGGACGGCCCCACGCCAGAGAAAGATCCGGCCTCGGATGTCCACAGTGCCTCTGTGGTGCCTGTCCCATTTTCTATCTCATTTAACAGTTGAGAAATTGAGAGGGAGAATTTCAGAGAGGGAAAGCCATTAGTTCAAGGTCACACAGCAAGGTTGACATAACCAAACTGAATTCAAGCCTCTGTCACCAGTCTGCTGGGTCGTTGCTCTTAAATTCTGGCTCTGGAATTTTTTTGTTTGTTTTCTTTTGTTTGTTTTGTTTTTGCAATGGCGTCTCCCTCTGTCACCCAGGCTGGAGTGCAGTGGCATAGTCTCGGCTTACTACAACTTCTGCCTCCTGGGTTCAAGCGATTCTCTTGCCTCGGCCTCCCAAGTAGCTGGGGTTACAGGTGTCCACCACCGCACCGGGCTAATTTTTGCATTTTTAGGGCTAATTTTACATTGTAGAGATGGGATTCTGCCATGTTGGCCAGGCTGGTCTCAAACTCATGTTCTCAGATAAACCGCCCTCCTCAGCCTCCCAAAGTGCATTACAGCCTTGAGCCACTGTGCCTGGCCTCCAGGGCTCCTTCTAAAATGCCAACCACTTGCAAGGGTCTTGGCTGTGCTCCTAGAGTCTCCAGGCCTGTGAATCGTGTGTGGCATCCAGTAGGCACTCAGTAAATGTTTACTGCATGAAGGAGCATCTCCCCCAAGTGTTCATCTGATGCATGTTTGTGGAGCACCTGCTGTGGGCCGGGCACTGAGGATGCTGCAGTGACCAAGAGGAACCCAAGGCCCCTTCTTAGGAGGAGCTGTGGGTCCCGAGAGTGACGGAAATGGACCCGAAATGGCTGGAGAATGTCAGAGCTGTGCCGGGGCCAGTTTGCTCTTTCATTGATGAGCTAGTCACGGTTTTATCGTGCGCTTACAACCAGGCAGTGGTTGGCTGGGTGCTGCGCAGGTAGTACTTCAGCTTCCTCCTGGTAACACTCCATTATTATGAAACCCATTTTACGTAGGAGGAAGGTGAAGCCCGAAACAGGTAAGTCTGTTGGCCCAGTCTTATAGGTATGAAAGGCAGGGATGGGGCGGGGCTGGATTCAAATTTAGGTGTGTAGGACTGCGGAGCCCCATTGGCTAGGAATGAATGAATAAGTGATTGAATGATGAATCGGTGAGCCAATGAACGAATGAACAAGTCAGCTGCCAAAGTATGAGCCAAATGAATGTGGAGTGAATGAATGGTAAGCCAACGAAGGAATGAGTTAGTGGTGAACAAATGAATGAATGAACAAATTAGTGAGTGAATGAATGCATGAAAGAAGGAAGTAATGGTGACGAAATGAATAAATGGGTGATTCAATGAATGGGTGAGCGAATAAACAAAACGGGTGAAGGAATGAATGAGTGGGTGAACTAATGAACGAATCGGTGAACGAATGAATGAGTCAACGAATGAAAGGGTGAGTGGCTAGAGCTCTGCCGGCCACGTGGCGGTGCGAGGCTGCAGACGTCGCGGGCCGGGAGGCACCTGCGCGCCCTTGGCGGACTTGGAGGAGGCTGAGATGGACGCCCGTGGGTTCCCTGGAGATGCAGCTGGCGGCCTGCGTGGGTGAGGGAGCCGGGTCCCCGGCGCCGCGTACTCATCCTCCTCCAGGCGACAAGGTCAGGTGGGGTCGGGGTGGCGCCCCCTCCCTCAGGGCCCAGCCCCCTCCCTGGGTCTCCCCACTTCATCCCGTGGGGGAGGGGGCTGGCGAGGGGGACGAGGGGGCGGGGGTGGCACCAGGGAGGGCGGGACCGGGCTGAGGGGGCGGGGAGCTCCGGCAGCGCCCAGCCCCACCCTCCGGCCGCTCCCCGCGGTCCCTCCAGCCCCTCTGGCCGCCACCTCCTACTGGAACCCCGTGCGCCCCCCACGCCCCGTGCCCCAGACGCCATGAAGCAGCTGTGTCTGTGCGCAGCCTCCTCCTTCGCGGTAGGGCCCGGGGAGGGGGCGCGGGAGCGGGCGGGGCGCGGGTCCCTCCTCTCCCTTCCGCTCTCCTTTCCTCCCCTCCTTGTCCCTGGTTGGCCTGGACCCCCCATTCCAGACCCGGGAAAGATGGGCAGGGGAAGGGACAGAGGTTGGGGCAGCTGTTGGGGGATGGAAGAGACATTTGGACACGTTTTGGAAGACACTTTGAAACAGATGGGGACATTTTGGAGAATTTAGAGGGCATTGGGGGTGCAGTTTTGAGAAAACATTTTGGAGTCAGACGGGGTCATTGAGGGGACAACTTGGAGGCTATTTTAGGAGATAGCCTAAATATTTTGGGAAGAGGTAATGACATTTGCAGAACAGTTTGGGAGAACATTTGAGGTATGTTTTTGGAGGATATTTTTGGGACCTGACGGGATCATGGGGAAGAATGCTTTTAGAAACACTTCAGGAATTGGGGAGACATTTTGTAATGCATTTCAGGCTCTAGTTTTTGGGGGAGAAGCCTCGGGATGTTGAGGGGACAGTGGTGGCATTTCAGGGCAGTTGTGGATAAACAGGGCAGAGGGTGGTCCTGAGAAACATGTAGAGGGACCTTCTGGAGTTTTCGATGGGACTTAGGAGGGTAGTGTGGAAACACTCGGATCTGTTTGCTGGGGGTGGTGTTGCAGGGGTGGCTTTCGCTAAGTAATGAATTGGGGAACAACTTTTTTTTTTTCTTTTTTTGTCTCCTCAGTTACAAGCAAATGGGAACAACTTTTTTTGTTGAACAAAGGGGGTCTTGCTGTATTGCCCAGGCTGGTCTCAGAATTCCTGGTCTCAAATGGTCCTCTCACCTGAGCTTCCCAAGCAGCTACAGGCATGAGCCACCATGCCCTGAGGATTTTTTATTTTTTGTAGAGACAGGGTCCCACTATGTTGCCCAAGCTGGTCTCAAACTCCTGGGCTCAAGCGATCTTCCCACCTTGGCCTCCCCAAGTGCTGGAATTACAGGCGTGAGCCTCTGCACCCGGCCCAGGGAACAGTGTTTTGGAAATCGATGTGGGGTGGGTGGGTGGGGGGGGCTGCTCAGGGGATGATGCTGGTGGTGGACTTTTGTTGGACAACTGGGGTGATGGGCCTGGGGGCAGATGCTGGGGGTCGCAGGATTGGGGGACACTGAGGACCCCCCCGCCCAGGACCACCTCCCCCTGCAGCTGCGGCTCAGCCCCACTGACCTCGGCTCCTGCCCGCCCTGTGGCCCCTGCCCCATCCCGAAGCCGGCAGCCAGAGGCAGGTGCCAGGCAAGTGCCCAGGAGCGGGCGGTGAGAGCCTGGGGCCCGTGCCAGGGGACGTGGGGAGGGGGCAGCAGCCGACCCTACCCCACACACCCCTGTGCGTACCCTGCAGAGTCAAGACTGGGGCAAGAGTGACGAGAGGCTACTACAAGCCGTGGAGAACAACGATGCACCTCGGGTGGCCACCCTCATCGCCCGCAAGGGGCTGGTGCCCACAAAGCTAGACCACGAGGGCAAGTCTGCGTGAGTGCCCTTGACCCGGGAGTGGGATGGCTGAGTGGTGGCGACCCTGCAGCTGAACCCTCGTCTCTCACCTCCAGGTTCCACCTGGCTGCCATGCGGGGTGCGGCCAGCTGTCTGGAGGTGATGATAGCTCATGGCGCCAATGTCATGAGCACGGACGGGGCAGGTACTGCCAGCCTGGCCCTGGGGAGGGAGGAGAAACTCAGCCCAGGTGCCTGGCCTGAGGGTTCACCAGGTCCTGCTTCCAGGCCTCAATGTACCCTGCTGAAAGGTGGGGGCTCCCTCCAATGCCCCCCCTTGCCTCCAGGGAGATGCCCAGGGGCATGTTAGAGTGGGGTACCCAAAGACAGAGACTGTGGTTGGCACCAAGCAAAGCAAGTGGACAGCTTGTGGATGGGGAGTGACTAGGATTCAGGTATTGGTTCAGTTGGATGGGGAAGTAGCTGGGGCTTGGGGGATAGCTGCAAAGTTCTGGCGGTTTTGTTTTGTTTTTCTTTTTTTGGGGGGGTACAGGATCTCCCTCTGTCACCGAGGCTTGAGTGTTGTGGGTGTGATCTCAGCTCACTGCAACCTCCACTTCCCGGGCTCCAGAAATTCTCCCACCTCAGCCTCCCAAGTAGCTGGGACTACAGGCACACACCACGACACCCAGTTAATTTTTGTATTCTTATGAGAGATGGGGTCTCCCTGTGTTGTCCAGGCTAGTCTTGAACTCCTGGGATCGTGATACTTCCACTCAGCCTCCCAAAGTGCTGAGATTATAGGTGTGAGCCTCCATGCCCAGCCTGGGGAAGTTTCTAGAAAGGGACTGAGGCAGAGGAAGAACCTGGGGCTTGGGAGATAACTGGGACTCTTGGACGAACTAAGTCTTGAGGTGCATCTGGGATGTGGAGTATCTGAGCTCAAGGAAGTGACTGAAAGGAGCTACTTAGAGTTTGGAGGAGAAACGAGACTCATGGGAATAGCTGAGTTTGCAAAGCATCTGGGGCATGAGAATAACAGTAGTGTTTGGGGAATATCTGACATATGTGGGAGAGCTGGGATCTAGGAGTAGCTGGAGCTCTGGGAGCAGCTGGAGCTCTGGGAGTAGCTTGAGCTCTTGGAGTATCTGGGGTACAAGGAGAACCTGGGCGCATGGCTTCACTGGGGACCTGGGGGAATAACTGAGATAAAAATGTGCGGCCAAAGGAGTAGTTGGGGCTCAGGAGGCAACTAGGCGTGGGGACACAGGCATAGTGGGCAGGGTAGATGGAGTAGCTGGGGAATCGCAGATCACTAGACAGAGTTGACATATGGAAGAGCAAGGGTACATGGATTGGCAGGAACACACACAGCAACTGTGGGTTGTGAAGGGCAGAGCTGCAGCTTTGGTGGAGTTGACCCTGTAGAGTGTCTGGGGACATGGGGAGTAGCTGAAGCAATAGGGCTTGAGGAATAGGTGGGTGTGGAGTGTCGCCGAGGTGGAATTGTCTGGAATACAGACTAGCCATGGTTTGAAGAGTCCCTGGGCACAGGGAGTAGCATGATTTTGAGAAGTACCTGAGGGCTGGGCTCAGTGGTTCATACCTGTAATCCCAGCACTTTGGGAGGCTGGGGTGGGAGGATCACTTGAGCCAGAGAGTTGAAGATCAGCTTGGTCAACATAGCAAGACTCCATCTCTATAGAAAATACAAATAAATTAGCCAGACATGGTGGCTGTTGCCTGTAATCCCAGCTGCTTGGGAGGCTGAGACAGGAGGATCGCCTGAGTCTAGGTGTTCAAGCCTGCAGTGAGCTATGATACCACTGCCTGGGCGACAGCAAGATCCCGTCTGTAGTGGAAAAAAAAGAGAGAAGTACTGGGGGTTTGGGGACTTTGCTAGACACAAACTCATCACAAATAGTTGACATGGCATGGGGAGCAACTGGGAGCTGCGTGTATAGCTGGAGCTTCAGTAAATCTTCTCTCCCTCCTCAGGTTACAATGCACTCCATCTGGCCGCCAAATACGGGCACCCACAGTGCTTGAAGCAACTACTGCAGGTCATTTACTTTCTTGTCTCAGCTATTCCCCGAACCCCAGTTACTCCCGTGACCCCTACTAATCCTGAGTTCCAGCAATTCCTTGAACCCCCAGACGCTCTGTGAATCCTAGATATTCCTTGGCCCCTTTTCCTCCAGAATCCCAGGTACTCCTTGGATAACCAGATGCTCTCAGAGCATCCAGATGCTTCTCCCACTTAAGATATACTCCCGACGCCAGATACTTCCTGAGCTCTGTTTCTCCCTAAGTCCTAGGTCCTTTCTTAGCCCCAGCCACCCTCAGAGTTCCCAGCTATGCTCCAAACTCAGCTGCTTCTCAGCTCCCAGCTATTTTCTTTTCCCACCAACTTTCATGAAAATGGAATCACCTGGGGGCCTGGGAAGGGTGAGGCAGAGAGGCTGAAGTATAGCAGAGCCCAAGGTGGGGAAGGCAGTCCTAGAGAAATCAGGCAGCAAGAAGGATGGCTCCGCCTCAAAGGACTCCCCCCATCCCCAGGCCTCCTGCGTGGTGGACGTCGTGGACAGCAGCGGCTGGACGGCCCTACACCATGCAGGTAGGTGCAGCCCGGCCCTGCCCTGACCTCATAGTCCACAGGGTGCTAGACTTGGGGGTTATTCTACCCCGGGCCCTGGGGACCTGCTGTGAAGCTTCCTGTCCCTCCTTTTTCCTTTTCTTTCCTTTTCTCTTTTTTCTTTTTTTGTTTTTTGACACAGAGTCTCACTGTGTCGCCCAGGCTGGAATGCAGTGGCACAGTCTCGGCCCAATCTCTGCCTCCTGGGTTCAAGCAATTTTCCTTTCTCAGCCTCCCGAGTAGCTGGGACTACAGGCACCCGCCTCCATGACCAGCTAATTTTGTATTTTTAATAGAGATGGGGTTTCTTCATGTTGGTCAGGCTGGTTTCAAACTGCTGACCTCAGGTTATTCACCCGCCCTGGCCTCCCAAAGTTCTGGGATTACAGGCATGAAGCCTCGCCCAGCTTTTTCTTTTCTTTTTTTTTTTTACACCACATCCAACCCTTTTTTTTTTTTTTTTGAGATAGGGTCTTGCTGTGTTGCCCAGGCTGGAGTGTATTGGTGCAATCTCGGCTCAGTGCAACCTCGACCTCCCAAGTTCAAGCAATTCTCCTGTCTCAGCCTCATGAGTAGCTGGGATTACAGGCCTGTGCTAATTTTTTGTATTATATATAGTATATTTTGTAGCACACCCTGCTGATTTTTTGGTTTGTTTGTTTGGTTTTGTTTTTTGAGGCAGGTCCTCACTCTCACCTAGGCTGGAGTGTGGTGGCGTAATTCTGCTCACTGCAACCTTGCCTCCCTCGCTTCAAGTGATTCCCCTGCCTCAGCCTCCTGAGTAGCTGGGATTACAGGCGCATGCCACCATGTCCGGCTAATTTTTTTGTATTTTTAGTAGAGATGGGGTTTCACTATGTTGGTCAGACTGGTCTCAAACTCGTGACCTCAGGCAATTCACCTGCCTCCTAAAGTACTGAGGTTACAGGTGTGAGCCACAGCGCCTGGCCCTTCTCCTGCTTTTTTATAACCTACCATGTGCCAGGCATTAGAGCCCATCTTAAATCCCGGTTACCGTTTGAACCACAGACTATTAGCCCATTGCACAGATGAAGCTCAACAAGGCGTCCCTTGTCCACAGCAGATAAGTGGTAGTGAATCCAGGTTGTCTGACCTGAAGGAGCAGCCGATTGTACTCCTGGTCTTTGTGACGATGAGGACAGGCCCCTAGGGTTTAATTTTCTTTGAGGAGCTCCTAGGAGATATCAGGAAAAATCATAGCTCCAGGCCTCTGGCACCTTCATCACCAAATCCAAACTCCTTCCCCAAGGAAGGGAAAGGGACCCACCCACTTGAGCCAAAACCCAGCCCCCAATCTGTCTGCTGTGCCCGTGAAATTCAGGCATCGCTTTCACTGATGACTCAAGAAACATCTGTTCTTTTGGAAACTCAGAATAAAATTGGGCTGCTTTTGGCGTTTTAGTCGCTGGGTAAGAATTCCCTGCAGTTGGAGTACGCTGCCACCTAGTGGCGGCAATGCCTCTTGTCAGTATACAGGAGTTCATCGGTTTTCGTCACTCAACAGTATTGAGCACTTTGGAAGGCCGAGGCGGGTGAATTACCTGAGGTCAGGCGTTCGAGACCAGCCTGGCCAACATGGTGAAACCCCATCTTTAAAAAAAAAAAGAAGAAGAAGAAGAAAGAAAAATAAATAAATAAATAAAAGAAGGGAATCTCTTAAAATGTAAATAGACCGGCCGGGTGCAGTGGTGCACGCCTGTAATCGCAGCACTATGGGAGGCAGAGGTGGGAGGATTACTTGAGCCCAGACGTTTGAGATCAGCCTGGGCAACATGGAGAAACCCTGTCTCTACTAAAAATATAAAAATTAGGCCGAGCACGGTGGCTCATGCCTGTAATCCCAGCACTTTGGAAGGCCAAGGCAGGTGGATCACCTGAGGTCAGGAGTTCAAGGCCAGCCTGGCCAACATGGTGAAACGCTGTCTAAAAATGTAAAAATTAGCTGGCTGTGGTGGCAGGCACCTGTAATCCCAGCTCCTCAGGAGGCTGAGGCAGGAGAATTGTTTGAACCTAGGAGACAGAGGTTGCAGTGAGCCGAGATCACACCATTGCACTCCAGCCTGGGGGACAAGAGCGAGAGTTCATCTCAAAGTTATAATAGTAATATATATATATAAGTATAAATTAAAAATTATCTGGACATGCTGGTTCATGCCTATAATCCCAGCTACTTGGGAGGCTGAGCAGGAGAATCACTGGAACCTTGGGAGGCAGAGGTTGCAGTGAGCAGAGGTAGTGCCACAGCATTCCAGCCTGGGTAACAGAGAGACTCTGTCTCAAAAATAAATAAATATGCCAGGCTTGGGGGCTCATGCCTGTAATCCCAGCATTTTGGAGCCTGAGGCGGGCAGATCATTTGAGATCGGGAGTTCAAGACCAGCCTGGGCAACACAGCCAGACCTCGTCTCTACAAAAAGTAAAGAGGGAACCACAGTGCTTGGGCCTGGGAATTAGCACACCTAGATTCTGTGTGTGACTCTGCCTATCACCACACTGGGTGACCACAGGCCTGGTGGGGCCTCAGTTTCTGCTTCTGTAAAATGCGAAACGTGCATTTGTTACAAATCTCACAGGCCCAGTGGGAATTTGTCATTAAATAAAGGAGCAAGGGCTGGGCGCAGTGGCCCACGCCTGTAATCCCAACACTTTGGGAGGCCAAGACTGGCTGATCACGAGGTCAGGAGATCAAGACTATTGTGACCAACATGGTGAAACCCCGTCTCTACTAAAAATACAAAAATTAGCCAGGTGTGGTGGTAGATGCCTATAATCCCAGCTACTCGGGAGGCTGAGGCAGGAAAATCACTTGAGCCTGGGAGGTGGGGATTGCACTGAGCTGAAGTTTTGCCACTGCACTCCAACCTGGTGACAGAGTGAGACTCCATCTTAAAAATAAATGAATAAATAATTAAATAAAGGAGCAGGGTCACATCCGGGCAGAAAGTCCCCAGAAAATGTCAACATCTTCCCTACCCCTAATCTTCCCCGATTTTGCTTTTCTTCCTTTCTTTCATTGGTTTTTAAGACAAGGTCTCCCTCTGTCACCCAGGCTGGTGTGCAGTGGTGCCATCATGGCTCATTGCAACCTCGAACTCCTGAGCTCAAGCGGTCCTCCCACTTCAGCCTCCCGAGCCTTCAGCTGGGGCCACAGGACAGACCACCACACCCAGATAATTTTTGCATTTTTTTGTAGAGACAGGGTCTCACTATGTTGGCCCAGGTTGGTCTCAAACTCCTGGGCTCAAGCGATCCTCCTGCCTCAGCCTCCCAAACTGCTGGGACTAAAGGCTTGAGCCACTGCACCCAACAACCTTTTATCTTTTGCAGCGGCTGGTGGCTGTCTCTCCTGCTCAGAGATGCTCTGCTCCTTTAAGGCACATCTAAACCCGCAAGATCGGGTAAGTTTCTGTGATCTCTTTGGGAAAGACGTTATGCTTGAGGTATGCTGCCGCCAAGTGGCGGCATCTCAGGCACACTTTGAAAGTTTGAGAAAGTTTGGGGTAAAACTCGAGGGTGGTTATATAGGCCTCTGCACCTCCAGGGGGGTCAGTTTCTCATGCCATGGCTTCCCTCGTCCTCCCTACCAGTCAGGCGCAACGCCCCTCATTATAGCAGCCCAAATGTGTCACACAGACCTGTGCCGTCTCCTTCTGCAGCAAGGGGCTGCCGTGAACAATCAGGACCTGCAGGGCAGGTGAGCATCTCCCCTCCCAGCCAGTCCACCCTATGCTGTGTGACCTTGGGCCAGACTCTTAACCTCTCTGAGTAAGGCGATCTAGCCAGCCTCCTCTTCCCAGCTCGACCTGACTGCTGAGGTGGGCGTGGGGGTTTGGGGGATGTTCTCATCTCCTCAGTAGCCCCCTCCCCTGGTAGGACGGCCCTGATGCTGGCCTGTGAAGGGGCCAGCCCGGAAACAGTGGAGGTCCTGCTGCAGGGCGGAGCCCAGCTGGGCATCACCGATGCGCTGGGGCAGGACGCGGCTCACTATGGCGCCCTGGCTGGGGACAAACTCATCCTGCACCTGCTGCAAGAGGCGGCCCAGCGCCCCTCCCCACCCAGCGGTACGCAAGCCCCACCTCCGCGCTGCGTCTGTGTGGCAGCTTCTCATCATCCCACCTTTCTCTATCGCGAATAGTTTCAAGGTACCCCCAATTGGCTGCATTCTAGGAGGTCCCAGCACGTACCGGATTCTACTGAGAACAGTTTCAAGGAGCCCCAGGGCATTTAGTGAAGTCTGGGAGGGGGTCTGCTTCTGCTTTCCTGGGTCATCTATACAGAAAAAACTTGGCCTCTCCTAAGAAGAGCACCCCCTGCTGGGCGAGGTGGCTCACGCCAGTAATCCCAGTACTCTGGGATGCCAAGGTGGGCAAATCACTTGAGGCCAGGAGTTCAGGACCGGCTTGACCAAAATAGTGAAACCCTGTCTCCACTAAAAATACAAAAGTCAGCAGAGCATGGTTCAAGCCATTCTCCTGCCTCACCTCCCAACCTGCTGGGGCTCCAGGCGCCTGCCACCACACCTGGCTAATGTTGGCATTTTTAGTGGAGATTGGGTTTCGCCATGGTGGCCAGGCTGTTCTTGAACTCCTGAACCTCAGGCGATCCACCCACCTCGGCTTCCCAGAATGCTGGGATTACAGGTGTGAGCCACTGTACCTGGCCTGTCCTCTTTTTTTTTTAGACGGAGTCTCGCTTTGTCACCAGGCTGGAGTGCAGTGGCAACCTCGACCCACTGCAACCTCCGCCTCCCAGGTTGAAGCAATTCTCCTGCATCAGCCTCCCAAGTAGCTGGAACTACAGGCTTCTGCCACCACACCCAGCTAATTTTTGTTTTTATAGTAAAGACGGGGTTTCACCATGTTGGCCAGGATGGTCTCAATCTCTTGACCTCGTGATCTGCCCGCTTTGGCCTCCCACAGTGCTGAGATTACAGACATGAGCCACTGTGCCCAACCTGTTTTGTATTTTTAGTAGAGATGGGGTTTCACCATGTTGGTCAGGCTGGTCTGAACTCCTGACCTCAGGTAATCTGCCCACTTCAGCCTCCCAAAGTGCTGGGATTACAGGCGTGAGCCACGGCGCCCAGCTGTCCTCTCTTTTTAACAGTTCCAAGTCCCCCCTCAGCACTCTACCCAAGTGCCAGGTTTCTACCTTAAATGTCCTGATTCTTGGGGAAATCGGGAGCCTTCTACAAGTCCCTGGGGCCCACCAATGCCCTTCCTGGGGCTGGAAACAGAATGCCTGACCCTGCTTCCCTCTCTCCCCCGCCTTCCCAGAGGATGACTCAGGCGAGGCGTCATCTCAGGTATGGACCCCTAAGCAGTGAAGGAGGCCCTCTTCCCTGCATCCACACTAACCTCTCCCCTGCCCCAAGCTCTGTGAGAAGAGAAGGAAGTTAGACCTGGGAAAACCAGTTTGGAAAGAATGCTACCTTCAGGGTATGCTGCCACCAAGTGGCGGCAGCGTACCCAGCCTAACTCCTAGAACTGGGTGAGAATACTAGGGGGAGGGGACCAAATTGTGGGGCTGGGGTGGGAGGGCAGAGGGGACTGAGGTTGTTGAGGGTTGGTGTCTTCAGGGAAAGAAGCAGATCTGGCCTCGTCCCTTCTTTCCGTTTTGTTTGTTTGTTTGTTTTTCTCTCACTCTGTTGCCCAGGCTGGAGCGCAGTGGCAGGATCTTGGCTCACTGCAATCTCCACCCTCTGTGTTCAAGTGATTCTCCTGCCCCACCCTCCCTAGTAGCTGGGGTTACAGGCACCCACCACACATGGCTAATTTTTGTATTTTTAGTAGAGACAGGGTTTCACCATGTTGGCCAGGCTGATCTTGAACTCCTGGCCTCAAGTGACCCACCTGCCTTGGCCTCCCAAAATTCTGGGATTACAGGTGTGAGCCACCATGTCACCCTTATCCCAGTTTCTTTTTTTCTTTTTTTTTTTTTT